CAGGGGCCACTTACTCTGTGCTGACTGATTTCCCTGGACCCTTGTCCTCTCAATCCTGTATAATAGTGGAGATCAACAGAAAGCCCCAAACCAAGTGCTTACTAGGAAATTTACTTTTCCATATCAGTTTCTGCTGGTGCGTGAGTGCCCCATCTCCTTCACTGGGAAGGGACTTGCTCACTAAATTCCAGGCAATAATCTACTTCAGAGACCCTTACATGAAAAACACCCGCCAAGAGAAATGATTACTCTCGACTTTGGGAGCCTGCCTCAGTCCCAAACCAGAGGAGGTCTTCATTCCACCCCATATTGTTTGTCAAGTGAACCCTGCTGTCTGGAAATCTGAGGTCCCTGACAGAGCTACTACTGTCAGGCTATCACTAAAAATGGGACCACGTGAGGATTTAACAAATTCTACAAGTTCTTTTTAGTTCCAGCTAACTTAGAGATGACTTAAAGGAAACCTGAGGAATCTTAGATATTAAACGAACTAGGATTATTTGGTATGTTAAGTTGAATATAATCCTAGTTCAGGTCATTGTAAACAAGTCTCTCTTTATCACTTACAGGTGTTTAACCATGCCTTTTAAGTCTTTTGTTGTTATATACAGATGAACTGCTGTTACAAAGGTGCTTCATTTGTAAGATTCATCGGAAGTCTATGAAAACAGTGGGTTACAGCACTACCAAAACAGATGACGGCCATGCGAGAATTCCAGCCCATACTGCCCTCTGACGCAAAAACAAAAGGCTGCCCTGCCCCTGGGGCCCCTAGATTAGGCATTCAGAGATTTTTACTCCCTGTTAGGCAGGGTCAACGCCCAAACTCAGCCTGGAAGTAGTTTCAGAAGTCGGACCATCGCCCCTCTGCACCCCCATGAGATTATGGGAGTAAAATCTCTGAGGGGGGAATGAGACAGGAGGGAAGGGGGCAAGGCACAGCCATTCAAGGAATGACACAGCAATTAACACCAGAATGATGGAAGAGTCAACTCAAAGGGGACTTTGAGGCTCAAGATGGTGGGAGATCTGACTTCTAGTTGGAATGGTCCTCCCACTTCCTGGTATGTGAAGACACCAAGCCCATAAAAACTAGCAACACCGCATCTCGTGGCTGCTTTTCTCACTCCCTCATCTTCGGAGAAGGCCTGCAGACTGTCTAGGGAGTGTGTATCTACTTTTACTTCAACCTGAGCACCCAATCCCCACACCTGGTGACCTTTCTCTTAACTTTTGAAGCAGCCTACACTTTATGCAGCATATATCTCTCTAAATAAATCTACCTTTACTGAGCTGTGGCTCGCTCTTGAATTCCTGTGCAAAGCCAAGGAACCACACTTGGCAGGGCACATCCAAGGGACACCACTGAGACCTGGGACACAGCCCCCTCATGCCAACGTTTGTATTTTCCTGTATCAGTATCATCATCCACTGGTGTAACTGTTTGATTCTGAGCATTTGCTTTCATAGTTGTTGTACCAACACCGCTTCCCTGAAAAACAAATTGGAATTGGAGAAATATTTTGAATGTTACGATCACAATTTCAGGAGAACAGATTACTGTTGGCTTCTAGGAATGGTTCCTAAACACTGGTTTTCTCAAACATTGGCAAAATTTCAAAACAGAAATTACGCTGTTATGCCATCATATCAATTCTGTCTTTCTAACAAAAAATAAACTTAATAACAGACAAAAAAATTATTGCTGAATGGTGCTGTGGTCCCAAGGCTGGGTCTGTGTTATCTTCGCTTGCCTTGGGGTGACTCTCCAGCCAGGCTCAGAGCAGGGGAAGGGCCAGATCTAGAAGGAACCCCGGAGCAGCAGAAAGGACAGCGCCCTGGGGGCAGGAGGGAACAAGGTGAGCCCAGATGGGGCTTAGGGGATGGGGAGGTTTCAAAGGTGGAATTCTGGAAGTGAGTCCTGAGGAGGCACTGGAAACCTCCGCCTCAGTGTGGGGAGCAGGGGCGCTGCTGTAAATACAGAACTGGGAGTTTGAGGAGGACATTTCCTGATCTGAGTGGAGGGGCCAGGGGAGAAATGGTGGCCTTGAAGAGAGATCAGGGATGAACAGGGCCCGGGCGGAAGTCTTCAAGAGACAGAATGTGATCAGAACAGAGGAAAATAGAAGCTCTGGGCCATGGAGGAGCCATCAGAAGACAGACCTCAGAGGGGAAGGGTGTGGACTCCAACAAGCTCTGTGCTTCCTAAGCCGGCCGTGAGGCTGACGGTCCAAAGAGCACTGGATGTGACGGAGGCCTCATTTTCAGTGAAGAAATCAAAGTGTACAAGCATGCAACCCCCCGCAGAGTTATTCCTCAGCCTGACTTTCACCACCCATCCTCCAGGGCAGTGACCCTCTCTATATCCCCTCCCCTCAAACCCCTCCTGGCTCTTCTGCTTTTCTAGATCCTTCTGGGCTCTGCACACTACAGTCTCCTGCCTCCTCGATTTCCTGCCCTCCCACGCCCCACAATCCCAACCCTAAACCCATCCCGTGCTCTAAACTCTTCTGCCCTTGATGCCCTCCCCCTCCCCCTCCCCTCCCCTTTCCTGGGCCCTGCTTCCTTTTCAGCCTCCACTGTGGTCACAGTTTGGCTTACTCACACATCTCAGCACAAGGCAAACTCGGCCAAGGGTCATCTTTCACACCCAAGATCGACATCAGCTTTTGTGCTGCGCTTCCCCAGATGCTGAATGGCACCCCCAGACGCGCTCTGAGAACAGCCCTGTCCTTCTCAACCTGGTCCTAGCTGGATCGTGGCCCTCCCACTGGGAACTGTCTTCTAAGCCTCTAGTCTCCACCCCAAGCCTGCCCTTCACTGGCCTCTCTCACTTTCCCCCAGGCTGGAGTCCAGAAACCCTCTTCTGACACCCCCACACTCAAATCCCTTCCTTTTCTGAATCTCCCACACCCTCAGCTCAAGTCTTCTGTCTCCTGTGGTGTCCTGACGGCCTCCATTCCCCGCTTATTCTCTGGGTCTCTCACCCCAGGGGATTGCAATCTCCCTCTTCACCTGGCTTCCTGTGCCCTTTCTTGACCCCCTGATCTTCAGGTGTCCCTGGGACTCCTGTGTGTCTGGAGGTTTGCACCTGTGTGTTCCTAACTCCCTTCACAAACACACACCACACGTATAAACATACACACACACATACACATAATCACACGAGAACACATTCACATATGCACATGCCCGTGTACATGCATGTACACATATACAGCACATACCTACATTCATACACACACACACACACACACACACACATTGAGTGCAAAGAGTTCCCACACCAAGGTCTTGACGCCTTGGCTCTAAGTGGTGCCCACAAGGGGCCCTTGTCTGAAAGCCACTTCCCCTTAGTCTGGGTCTGGAGCACATCCCCTCTCTTAGTGACTGTTTTACCTTGAGTATGCTTTGGAGTCTTACAATCTCTCATCTCACCTCCGGCCAGAACCCTAACCTTTTTTATTACTCATCACTGACACCTCTCTTGCCAAAGTATTTTTTCCCAGGGTCTGTGATATTATTCTTTCAAAGGGTTTGCACAATATATATAGTGAATGTTTTGGGTTCACTGCTGAGTTCCTGTACCCGGGCTGCTCACTGATCTCTGCACAGGCCCTCTTCAACAGAGACTTGCCCTCAGCTGAGCCACAGGCCCTTCTTCGGGCAGTTGTCCCCCAACCACTCCTAGGAGCAGTGAGCAGGCAGGACTGCTCCCACTGGGGTGACTCTCCAGCCAGGCTCAGAGCAGGGGAAGGGTCAGATCTAGAAGGAACCCCTGAGCAGCAGAAAGGACAGCGCCCTGGGGGCAGGAGGGAACAAGGTGAGCCCAGATGGGGCTTAGGGGATGGGGAGGTTTCAAAGGTGGAATTCTGGAAGTGAGTCCTGAGGAAGTACTGCCTCTTAGAACAAATGAGTGTCACGTTAAATATAGTAGAGATGCCAGAGCTGCGGACTTCAGTTTGATGTAATGAAGTATCTGTGAAATCACTGCCACTGATGCTGAAATTTTTCAAATGGTAAGCCTGTCTTTGGTGTTCAGGAGTTCCTAGATTTCTTCTGAGTTCATTCTGGCGATATAGCTCGGCATGGAATTGAGTGGCTGGTCATCCAAATAAACAACCCTGTCATCTGGGGGTGGAAATTGTGCTAGAGAGTGAGTTCAGTATCACAACCCATGTTTCAATCACACCTGCCAATGTAATAAAACCCAAGTGAACACTCTGGACACCAGTGATCCGATGAGCTTTCTGGGTGGTGAACACCTCAGTGTGCCTGATGTGGGCGCTGTGTCCTGACTCCACAGAGGAGCTTGCGTGTGGAACCTACCCTGTCTTTGACCTAGCATCTCTCCTTTTTGCTGGTACTGTAGGCCTCCACCTGAAGGCTCTAGAGAATAAGCCATGGGCTGAACTGATAAACAAGCTGTGAGAAATGTCACATAGCTGGCTGGATAAGAGATGGCCTATTTAATGTCTCCAGTCTGGACGGCTGGATAGCCAACGACAGGTAAGATCCTCAGAGGAGGACCACCTCAGACAGGCACAGCCGGCTGGATGAGAGATGGCCTACTTAATGAAGTTTTGTGATGACCTTTAAAACAGTCTGTCCTTGATCATGTAACATCCTGTGCTTACTGCAGGAGCCTGGGAACCTGGAGCCTGGGAACCTGGAGCCTGGGAACCTAACTAGCTTAAGATTATTAACATTGTTATAACTTAGATGATATGTGAAGCACCATGCATATCCTATATAAATCCTTCTCTAAGAATCAATATGCAGAGGACTGCTTCGCTTCTCTTCACACGGTGTTTGTGTGTACATGATATCACGTCACAGATGGTGACTCCGATGTGGTATCAGACTCGGCAAACACGTAAATGGAACTAAGGAAATTTTGGGGGACTTTTCAGCCTGTCAGGCGTGCTGAGGGATACTCACGGGGCAACAGCTTACTAAGCAGCAGCAGCTGTTCTTTCAGACTTTAGAACAGCTGCTTAAAGCAATATCAGTTTCGGTTTCCCCTGCGGAGCTCCAAAATTTATTATTGGCCGTTGCTCAACACTGCCTGTGGTTTCCGGAGGAAGGCACCCTAGATTTAGAGTTATGGGAACAAGCTGGACATGTTTTAAAAACTGAATTCAAACTCTTAACTGATGTACATTTAATAATGACGTGAGGGATAATTAGAACGGCCTTATGGCCATTATATACTAAGGATGTTTCTACTACGAATACTCCCATTAATCACAATGCTGTGGCTAACACTTTGGAGTCATCAGCCCCTCCAGAGGATAAATTACCTCCTCTGCCGCTACAGCCACCCACCGCCCCCCCCCCCCCGTGCCATTGGCTGGGGAACCTATAAAGCAGCCTGCAGAGGAGACTTCACCTTTGGGAATATCTTTTGATTCAGATTCAGACTCAGAAGAGGTTTTTCTTCCTCCTTTGAGTTCTGATCAGAAAGATAAACAAAAAATTACTTTTCCACCTATTGTTAATGCCCCTGCCTTTGAGGATCCATCTTGTCACAGTTTAATGCATGGGTGCTTGAGGGAAGGACTTTTGAAAGGAGATGCTGATGCTATACATAGAGCTTCCCCTGTTATTGTTCAAAATGGTCAACGTATTCATGATTTATTGCCTTTCACTGTTTATAAGGAATTGAAGAAAAGTATTTGAGAGAATGGCATTCAATCTCCCTTTACTGTGAGTATGATAGAAGCATTAGGAGGAAGTTACCGTATGATTCCTTATGATTGGAGTATATTGGCTAAGACCTTATTAAGTCATGCCAAATATGCTTTATGGAAGTCTGAATATAATGATTTGGCTGTTACTAAATCTATAGATAATTTAACTCAGAACATACCAATCAGTGCTGACATGTTACAAGGAACTGGACAATATGCAACGCCTAATGCTCAATGCCAAGCTCATGCACTATTACCATGTCAAAGCTCTGAGCTTGCCCTTGCAGCTTGGAAGGCTATCCCACCATCCACTAAGGATCGGGCCATTAATTCTTTTGTGAACATAAAACAAGGCATTGCTGAACCTTATATTGAGTTTATTGCTCGCCTACAAGTTGCCATTGAGTGACAAATACCTAATCCTGGGGCTGCTCAAATATTATTATTAAAGTGTGCCTTTGAAAATGCAAATGCTGACTGTCAGGCTGCTATGGCTCATTTGCAAAGTCGTAATCATAATTTAGGGGAGCTGATAAAAGCTTGTCAGGAAGTAGGGACACAAACTCACGCTGTCTGTGTTATGGCTGCCGCTTTCTC